CAATTTTCCCTTGATGCCTTCAAGTGCTCTTGGGAAGTTTGTACTTATGAGCTCTGAAGTCAAAATTATGCTGACGTTCTAGTTTTTTTTAGGGGACTAATTTGTGCTTCATAAGGATTGTACGCTTCGTATACATCATTCTGACACAGAGAAAAGTAGAAAGCTACTGTCAAGTCATAAGCCAGCTAAATCAGTACTATTTTCTGCTATTTGATCACTATTCTTGAGTAACATCACACAATACTTGCAAACTACTGTTGACATACAGCCAGCAGCTAAACAGTTATGAACAACACATAACATGTTTTCATTATTATCTTTAAATCTTGACAAATCAAATGTAGGGAGTTATTCAGCTTGTTTGTTTTTCAGCATTGTTGTGTATTGGATTTAGATGTTTTTTTACTGTATTTTACAGTAACTTTTTTTTTTATGCGCATATGCAAAATGCACATAAAGATAGATAGATGGACTACACTATACTAAGTGCTATACTGTATGTTTGGAAGTTTTTTCCCCACAATGTCAACAGAATGTCAAAGGCATCTGCGGTAGAACCCAAAAGGCAGAAGAAGATGCTAACCATCGCACAAAAAGTTCTGGACATGCTAAAGGTAGAAGTTATGTGGCTGTAATGTGCCATTAAGGATTAAATAAATGAGAATTAAACGGTTTTGATCTTTGGTTTCATTCTATAATACTGGACTTTTTTTTTTCTACAAGGTTTGAACTTTAAGAGTGTTTAAACAAGAAAGACAAGTGTGAAAATATTAATGCCTGTCTAAGAAAGTCTATAAAATGTGTAGTTAGGCCTTTTAAAGCCTTAAAACATCTATAATAACTGTAAAACATAAAGCTGACTACCTTGCTGGTGTTGCCTATTGTAGGTTATTTTTAAAACGTAACTTCCATGAATAACAAAGGACCATTGTACTGTAATACTGTCAGTATTTTCAATAAAATGTGGTTATTTTATTGGATTGTGTGTGTGTTTTTATCAGTACAAATTAGGTTATTAAGGTAAATTGTAAAAGTCTTACAAAATTAATTTCTATTATTTAATAAAACACCAATATTAGCTTTTAGTATTTTTAACAAAAGCATTTTCCCTTTTCAAACAAGTTCTATTTCAGTACATGCATAGTAAAACTGTTACATTTTCTCATGCGCTCAGGCTGGAAAAAACATCTGTCTCTCGTTCTCTCTCTCTCTATTTCCCCTGCATTAGCCTATGCTTGAGTACCCAGAATAATGATCATTTCCATATTTCTGAAGATAAGAGAAGTCATAGTGAACCAGCAGCGCTTCAGTAGAGAGACGTAAAGCACAGCAACACGACCTGCTGAATCAATCTCCACTTCACAGAGAAGATACACTGAGAGAATAAAAGGAGGACACTGGGATGAAGAGCTGCCCCCTGCTAACGCTCTCACAGTAGCCATTAAACAACGCTTATTGAATCAATTTACAATGTCTAATGCGGTTTTTGAGTACCGCGGAGCTCAAGGACAGAGCCGGTGTGTCTTTCATTGAGATTCTACTGTTGTTTGAATATAGGTGCAGCTGATACTGAAACTGAATGTCAGTTCAGAGCTGATAAATTAATTGTGAAGTGAAGTTTTTTAACTAATTTCGGAAGAAGCACACACAGATGGTAAAGGCAACAAATTCTCTTTTAGCAAACACACTAGTAATTCAAACAGAGTCAAAGATAATTCTCATAATTAACCAAGCTCATCCCACTTCAGTCATCTCATTGGCTTTGCATCCCTCCTCCACCCCAACTCCACACCTTTTACTTGATCCAAACTAAGCACAGTGAGGGGAGCTTTCTAGGATCGAGCTAGATCCTGAGCTCATATTCCTTTCTGTCCCTCTTGACGGAGACAATGCCCCAAGCTCAGCATCCAGCTGAGGCCTCAGAACCCTCTCCCTGGACAGTAGGGCTGTGAGATTAATTAAAATCGAATTGCAATCGCGATTTGAAATGTTGCGATTAGCTTATCACAAGTGGCTGCGAAATGAATGTGTAATTTAATTTCCCCAACCCAGAGCAAAAGCGCGACTGCATTCTGTGTGTGACAGTCTTACTAGCCAATTAAGTGAGCACACTTTCAATCTGCCCAATCAGAATTGCGCAATTATCAGAATTATGCAAAACACCCACAGTAAAACAAACAAACAAAAAAGCGCAGACTAGTGACAAGTGCAGGATGATGACTGCTTCTCAAGCATTAACAGGCAAATTAATATCAAAGAAAAATAAGACATCAGTAATATGGGAATATTTTGGTTTCAAAGTCACAAGCAACAAACAGAAACAAGTCATTTTTATTCGTGTTTACTGTTTGCCCTAGAGAAAAAAAAGTCTTTTATTTCTGAGTGTATTAAAAAAACAAATTTGAATAAATGTTAAACTAAGTTAGTATCTTATCAGTTCTTTTTTTTAACTAACACTTACGACATTTTAGCAGTAAGAAGCTACAATACAGATTATTGAGCTGAAGCTTGACTACAAAATTAAATCGCAAATTAAAATGGCAATATCTTAAAATAATAATAATAATAATAATAATAATAAAAATAATAAATAAATAAATAAATAAATAAATAAATAAATAAATAAATAAATAAATAAATAAATAAATAAATCGGAAATAATTCACAATAAGATATTTTCTTCAAATCACACAGCCCTAATGGACAGCATGTCTAATATGCTTATTTTGATCTCTTTTCTATGTGTGAGTGTGAACTTGTAAAAGTAACATACATATATCAGAATCAGGAGTAAATTTGGAGTTGTAGCAGATATTTCATCATTTCTGTAGTATGAAAATTGATAGATGGCATTTATTTATTTCAGAACACTGAGAAGACAATCATTACTTTCCAGTTGAAACTGTAAAATAAAATAAAATAAAATAAAATAAAATAATTTTTCCAGAGATGAGTTGCAGCTGGAAGGACATCTGCTCCGAAAAAAAATATAATGTAATATATATATATATATATATATATATATATATATATAAATATATATCATGAAAGCATGGATTTATACATAAAAATTTTTTTAAAATGAATGTACTAATGTGCCTAGAGGGTCTATAGACTTACCTCTCTAGGAGATACTACACGACTTAATCAACAAAGCATTAATCTGAGATTTGTCAGTCTAGCCCTACTAGCAGTCATCAAATGCATAACTTTGAGATGGAAGGAAACCCCGTTCGTCTTCCATGTGGATTAAAGAAGTGTCAGCCTATATAAAACTTATTTGTGGCAATACAGGGTGCAGGGTTGGGGCATGTATAGGGCAGTATCAGGGGCGTAGCAACCCTCACTTTGAGAGACATTTCGAAACAGGTGATTAATAATTATATGAATGTAAACTTTAGGATCTCATACAGCTGTCCCCCCACTTTTAAAATGTTGGTTACCCCCAGGCAGTATGTGTAAGGATGAAAGAGCTATTTAGTTTATTCTATTATGATTAAAAGCAATTAAATAATAATAAAATAACTAACATAAATAAATACTGTCTTTTTTACATAAACCCCCACGTACAAATTTGAAAAACACATACCCCCCAACCCCCCCTCCTCCTCTATACAGTAACTACACTACACACAAATGTGGTCAATGCAAAAGTTTACAAGTTGGCTGCAGACTGACTTGCTAATGCTAATAGATTCATTGCCCTATTTGCTATTTGGCATAGAAACAAAATTCATGTTTCACAAGATCGACAAGCCCCCGAGGCAAACACAGGAGAACCGGCATGACTCGAGCCAAAATGATGAAGGCTGTCAAATCTCAAACACCAACCAATAAGTCAAGCTGCACTTCTGAGCAGCTGTTTTGCTGTGCTAAGCTAACGCCATGCAAAGACCGTATTGATTAAGGCCGGCGAGCACAGACAAGTGATGAAATAAGGTCAGAGAACGAGCAAAAGGTCACTCGCTTGATTTACACATTTAAGTTGTTGAAATATTTCAACTTATGTTGTGTTAAAATAACACCAATAAGGAGACATAAAATAATAATAATTATAATAATAATAATAATAATAATAATAATAATAATAATAATAATAATAATAAAATGTTTTGTGCGGTGCATTTTTTAACATTACTTGAGTGTAATAAAAAATTCAGTTGTCGGAAATTTCAGTCATTCAATATTCAAGTTAACAAATTTAAATTCAAATTAAGAAATTTAAAACTTTTTAAATGTATATAATAACTCAGTTTAATAAAACTACAACTGTTAATCATTTAAATTAGCACAATTCAGATTGTTTTGGCATATTTTAAGCTCCATATACAGTATTTTAAGCTCCATAAGAATTCAGAACATAAATAAATAAATAAATAAATAAATAAATAAATAAATAAAATCAGGAGTTTGAAAATGTCTATAAAAATAATTCAGTTTCAAATTTCAAATGTTCAATATTCAATTTAAGAAATGTTCACATAAGAATATACAGTTTAAGTCAGAATATTAGCCCTCCTGAATTATTAGCCCTCTCTCTATTTTTTCCCCAACTTCTGCTTAACAGAAAGAAGTTTTCTAAACATAAGTTTTATTAACTGGTTTATTTTATTGTTGCTATGATGACAGTACATAATATTTTACTAGATATTTTTTCAAGATACTAGTATTCAGTTTAAAGTGACATTTAAGGAATTAATTAGGCTAATTAGGCAAGTTAGAGTAATTAGGCAAATCATTGAATATTGCTTAAGGGAGCTAATAATAATGACCTTAAAGTGTTTTTTTAAAAAGTTAAAAATGTTTTCATTCTAGCTGAAATAAAACAAATAAGAGTTTGTTAGTAGAAAAAAAAATATTATAGGAATTACTGTGAAAAATCCTTGCAGCTAAAATTCATTTGAAAAAGAAGGCTAATAGATGGTTAAAGGTGGCTAATAATTTCGGCTGTACGTATACAAAACAAGAATTTAAAAAAATTTCCAAACAGAATGTCTTACCTTTCCTACATATTGTGCATCTGTCCCAATGTGTTCCTCTAAGACAAAGAACTGGTTCCATATCCATCCGCGTTTGGGCCGATGGTGAACCTCGGTTTCCCCGTCCTTAGTCTGGTTGTGATGCGTTGCATTGTGGCTCCTGGAAATAACTTTGGCCTGGCTGTAATTTCTGGCCTCGTAACCCCTCTCCAGAAAACACAGACACAGAAGTACAGGACACAAACAAGAGCTCGGGTTCACCTTCATGACTGCAAACAGGACACAAATTCCCAATATTCCGCAAGGATTCCCCAAAACTACGGCGAAACTCCCAAAGTTCGGCAATATTCCAAACAGACCGTGGTATTCCACAAATGGTATATTCCAATGGATGTAGATGCTTCCCAAACCCTCCTCCGCCTCCACCTCCTCCACCACCACCAGCCAGCGGCCACCTCCACTCCTTCTTCCCCTCCTCTGATGCGCGTCTGAGGGGCTTGATTTAATCAGACGCCACCCCGGAGGTCCAGAACGCTTGAATGAGTTTCATATTTCAGTCGTTCATCTTGGAAAGGCGTCAGAAATGCATTTACATCATGCACCCGAGAAGTATTCGCAGATGCGTTCAAGCCCAGATGCAACGAACATGTAAGGTGACAGCAGCGGCCATGTTGAATCTCCTGTGAACAGATAAGATGCAAGCACTTTTAATGTTTCATAATGTTATTGCAATGGGATATCTCGAAAGATATTTCATTACGAGTACTGCGTCGTTGTGTAATCTGGCTTTCTGTGAGGGACTAGGGAACATGGAATTACAACTAACTCTTTTTATCTGGTCTTACTTTAAAAGATTCATTACTGCAAGAGAACGTGTTTGTTATTTTTATTCAGTCTTATATGGCTTTCCCTTGATAATGTTAACCAAGATCTATTTAGCTGTTTAGTCAGTGGTAGCACATTTGACTTGGAACTACTTTCTTCCATGCATAATGTCAAATGACAATTTACAATGGAAGTAGGGTTGTTAAAAGTATCAACATTGGTACCGATTAATACCAAAGTCGATACTTTTGACAATCTTACTTCCAATCAGTAAGGATGAATAATTTTTCAATGCAATTATTATGCAGAAAAAAAAATCACTTTTATAAGGGGTTAAAACACAATTATGTGAATATAACTCTAATGCTAAAAAAAAAAAAAAAGTTATATTTTTTAGAATAACACTTCATAAAAACAGTCTGCAGAAACACTTTGACTTTTTCACCTTCGTACATGTTATCGAGGTGGAAAATCTTGCCTACTAGTGACAATTTCTCATTAATCAGCATAAACAGCCCTGAGTGAGAAGCAGCTATCTGCTAATAGCTTTCTAAGATGTACCTGCCAAAGATAATGTAAGCAACTAAAAGGCATTACAGTTGAAAAGTTTTAGGATGCACAAATTAATAATGTAATCTCCATAACTGCCCTCTTCTGAGCCACTTTTGACATATTCAGATTTTCACTGACATTAGTCTTGTTTTAAATCTGCTGTTTTGTTGATGCGCAGGTATTTGTAGCTCCCCCTTATTTAAAAAGAGCACAATCTCATTTGAATTTTAAGTGACAGTCTTCAAAAAGGCACAACTTTTATTATAGCCTAATAGGGGCAGTTTAAAAGTGTTATTGTCACAGTTGGGTATTGAACTCAGGTCTCTGGTGTGGAGACTAGTGAGTTAACCACTGAGCCCCAGTGGCAGTTGTGTTGAACCCAGACGAAACACTCATAGTAGGGATCCAGAAAACAAGGATTCATTAAAAAATAAATAAATACAAATCAACTTAGATTCTTTTAAAAAATGAGATATCAAAATGGACAACTTAGATTTTTCTCAGAATGAGGTATACAAAATATTAACAGTATAAAAAAAAAAAACATACAAAGAAAAGTCTTACTAGACGTAGCTCTGGAGACCAAAAGAACGCACAACAAGTTCACAGGGGACTGACTCAAAAAACGAATGAGGAATAGAGAAAAAAAGTGACAACTTAAATACACAGGCTGAAACAAGTCACAGGTTATCGAAATTAAGTAAACAAGAACACACAAGGAAGAAACAATGCAGGAGAGGGAACATGGGGACCTCTAGGGGAATGGAGACAAAGTGCAAGAGGGTGACAGTTATAACAAATGCTGAAACTTCACATACACATTCTAGGGACACCAGAGAACTTTTTTACATCTCGTAAAAAAGGACATAAAAGGCCACCATTAATATATATATATATATATATATATATATATACCCCTTATAAAAGTGATTTAATATATATATATTTCACCATATATATATATCAATTTCCCTCTTAAATCTGTTTAAGATTGTTGAGCACAATCTTAAAGACCTCTTATTGGCCTTTTATACTCATCAGAAATACCTGTGATTGGCTATGAAGATCATTGGTTTACCACCCTTCACCAAATGCAAACACGCAAACACAGACAATCCAGTAGATCGATCAGCAAATTGTTCATATGTCAGCTTTTAGACCGATCAGCTGATAAATGCAGCTTTCAAATGCTTGATTGTAGGCATGGGACAATAACCGCTTTGGAAAAGTCAAGATTTTAAAACTGTTGAAATGTTCTGTTATACTGTTCCTAATGTATATGCAAGTTGTTGTTTTTTAATGACTTTTTTATTTACTTTTTCCAGCAGAAAAGGTACTTCCATATCAAAAATTACTGACTAGCCCACAATTTAGCAAGCGCCTGAGAAACAAATTGCTTATAAACCAACATCCAAGCCTGCTATAGACCTGACCAGTGGCTTGCTTTATATCCCAAAAAAAAGAAGAAGAAAAAAAAGAAATAAGCAAAGATGCCTTTTGAAGTTGTAAAGAAATCTGTGTTTTTGAAACTAATGAAGACAGCAAAAGTCAATATTTGTTTTAATTATTTAGCCTGACTTGTTTACAGTTCCAAAAGGTTTCTCAAAATAAAATATTTTGTGTTCAATGGGGAAAAAGTAGTTATTTTTTCCTCAGACATTTAACAAGAACATATTTTACATCAGGAATTACAATACCGTGATATTTTTATCCAAGATTATGATATTGTCAGAATCCTATAACAGCAAATGCCAACTTCAGTGTCCGTATATCTGTTTTGACAATTCTAACAGGGAGCTTATCCTAAAATCACCAGCAACAGAATCCAATTCTACCTCAATGTATAAGAGCAGCTTGGACATGCTTTTACCATACTTCATCTTTTACAGCAGAAAATAATAGGCCTTGGACCAACATGAGAATGAGTTAACGAACACCGATGTTTCTTTTTTGGGTGAACTAGTGCATTAAAAGAAGTAATTTATGAAATTCCCTCACAGAGAACCAAAACAACAGATGCTTGGCACAGTAAGTTCGTAACTAATTAGTTCCAAGTTCTAATCAATATTTTGCTGTTTAACAAAGCTTGCCATCTTTGGAATCAGTCAGACGCAAAGCAGACCAAACAAGCTGATAATGTGGTCAAATATACAGTTGAATTTCTGTTTCATTAAAAAATAAAATTACTTAAACACATTTCTAAATATTATAATTTCAACAACTCATTTCTAATACCTGATTTCTTTCATCTCCATGATGACAGTACAGGATATTTGACTACATATTTTTCAAGATGCTAGTATTCAGCTTAAAGTGACATTTAAAGGCTTAACTAGATTATTTAGGCAAGTTAAGGTAATAGGTTGGTTTCAATCACATGGTTTTGGTGAAACGCGGAATTCAGATGGAAGGCAGGAAGTCAAAAACTGAATGGGAGATAGAATAAAGTCTGTATTTTTGCAATTTATACCATATTTTAAATGAGATATACATAAAAATAACCATCCTTATATTATGAAGAGGGCTGAGTTGTCTACTGAACTAAATTATATTTGCCTGTCATCAAGGCGGTAGATAGTAGTTAAAGATACTGGTCAAACTTTATTTTGATAGTCCTTTTGTTGAATTTAGTTTCCATGCTTCTACATGGCAACTAATTCTCATTAGATTACACGTAGACTGTTGGGGTTAGGGTTAGTGTAAGTTGACATGTACTTGCAAAGTTTCTTATAGTCAGTTAAATGTCTGTTGAAGGAGCAGTATCAACATATATTAAGCAGACAGTCTACTAATACTTAAATGGACCATCAAAATAAAAAGTGTTACCAAAATACTATAGTATAGTATTACATGTTTTAAAGCATACTATAGATAACTACTTAAATTAAACTGTCATAGTTATTATTGTTGCTGTGGTATGACACAACTTTAGTATTAAACAAAATATTCAATATCAGTTTCTATAATTGTACACCATCACAACACACCACAGCATCACTACACTAACATTACAGTATTTATTAAAGTTTATCAGCTTACAGTATTGTGTATATATATATATATATATAATATGTGCCTCAAATACATGTTTATTATACATTACTGTAGTTTTTTTTTTTTCTCTATGTGGATATTTTCCAGACATCACGTAATAACAGATAAAAGCACACAACAGCATGGACGCATGGTCTACATTATTATTTATTCATTTTTGTAAGGGGGTAAAAGTGCTCCACTATAATAAACGTCCAGTTTTGTCGCAAGGGTTGCATTTCTTTTTTGTTTGGTTGATGAACTTGGCATAAAACAAATAAGACTTTCTCCAGAAGAAAAAAAATATTATCGGAAATACTGTGAAAAATTCCTTGCGCTGTTAAACATCACTTGGGAAATATTTGAAAAAGGAAAAAATAAAACACAGGAGGACTAATAATTTTGACGTCAACTGTATCTTAGCATCTCATCTTATATTATCAGTATGTAGATGAGTTCATATAGCTTTTACAAAGTCAAATGACTGCCTCTCAGAACGATGAATTAGGCTGTATGACACATTTTTGATTGTTCTTGGCCATATAGGGAGTTGCTAAAAACCAGGCAAGCGTGAGACACTTTAGTCATGCTTTGGTAATAAACATTGAAATGCGAGAGATCATAGTGTGGAGTTGCGAGCAGCATACTTAGCCTAATGAATTCACAAATGGTAATCCTTTCCATGCACTAACAGCACTCTCATCAAGGTTTAAAAGGTCAGAAATGTTATAAAATTTCATTAAAATGTGAGAAATCTGCAGGATTTGCATTCCGTCAATTACCACAGGAAATAATAATACTAAATGCTTATTTATAGCTATGCTGATATTAAGGTCGACAAATTAATAAATGTATATGCAGCATTAGATAATACTGAAAATTTACTGATTATAATGGGAACTGGGTGTTTCAAACCGCTAACCTGAGTTCACCAAGTAGGACAAGTTTCGGGATAAACATAATTTACAGTTAGGGTTAGGTTTAGGGGTAGGGAATAGGTATGGATAACATTTTCCAACAAAAAGTATGTTCCATGATCAACTTGGCAAAATCATAACGTGTTTCAAACGTGTAGGAAACAAAATTGATGGGCAAAAAAGCACGACAATATATATTTTTTTCTCCAATGAACTCTTACAACAACAAAATTCAATTGTTACTTCTGTTTATTCATTTAGGCATAGTTCTCCTAAAATAAAAATGTTCAGTTTTAATTTACCCAATACCAAGAGTCGTTAAAAGTTGTTAACAATGGGTATGCATTCTGTAT